TCGCCGACGCGCGACGGCGGCGACGGAGACGGAGGCGATGGACGCGGCGACGGCGGCGAAGGGACCGCGAGCAAGCGCCCGCGGCGGTCGCGAAGGTGAGCCGCGCCCGCGCGCTTCGAGACGAGATCGATCGACTGGTCGAGATCGAAGACGGAGGACGAGATTTGATTTGACGCGGTCGTTCAGCTCGCAACTCAAGTACTTCCGACGAAACGCAACGTCTTCGCTCGTCGACGAACCCGCAGAAAGCCACACCGCTCGCGCGGATCGGAAATGATCGTTTCGAGGGTGCCGAGCGTTGCGCGACCGTCGCACCGCGCGTTCGCTCGCGCGGTTCGACACGACGCGTCTGGCTCACCCGCTGGCTTTTTTCTGTTGAAACTGAATCGCGAACACGGGTATGTACCCGCCGACGAGGACCATCCCGGCGGCGACCGCGCCGAAGATGAGGTGCTTGCCTTTCGTCTGCGCGCGAAGAGGGGGGGGAGGGGGGGGGGACGCGGGGGAGGACGAGTCAGCCGCGTCCGTCGCGGCTGCGCGCGAGGAGGGGTCCGAAAAACGGCGACGACGACGACGACGACGACGCGTCCGATCCGAGCGACGCGTCGCGGGGGATGGACGCACCGCGTGGACGTCGTACATCTTCTCCGCGTGAATGTACGCCTGCGGAGCGCGCGAGGGAGGTCGGGAGCGGGAGCGGCGGGGGAGGGGGGGAAGGGATCGTCAGAGGTGCGTCGCGAGGCGCGCGCGCGGGGGACGAGGCCGCCCCGGGGCCAACCCTAAAAACGACGACGACGACGACAACGACGACGCGCGCGCGCGGACGCGACGGGACGAGACGCACGGGTTCGTCCGCGCCGCCGCGCTTGGGCGCGGAGGTTTGAAAGGCGCGAGCGGGCGCGGCGCCTGCGCGCTGCGTCAGCGCGCGACGCGCGACCTGGGCGAGAGCGCTGGACGACATCTCGCGCGCGGAAATTGCGCCCCTTCGCGCGCGATTTCCTGGCATGAACGCCACGAGCCCTACGTGTACACGTACTGTACGTGTAAAGTCTGTACAACGTACGAGTACGTGTACAAATAGTAATAGAATACTTTCGTATGAGCCAGCCGAATGATTTACGTGTACACGAGTAATCACGAGTACACGTACGTGTACACGTACACGTTACTGTTAGACTGTTTAATTGTGCGTGTACAGTAGGGCTACGTGTACGTGTACAACGTTAGCTCGCTTCTAGATCACATGTTTTACCCGGATGGGTTAGAGCTCAGTCTTTTTGTAATCAGATCCACACACGTGTACAACGTTGTACACGTACGATCTGTCGGCTTTGAAATTTGAAAGAGCGAACGGGCGAAACGATCGGTCTGTCGATGCCGGTGACACGTAACGTTGTACGTGTACTACACACTGTACTACACAGTGACTTTCAAAGTACTGTACACGTCCGTGTAGTTGTAGTGTGCAGGAGGTCAAACCCGTCAAACCTGGGTCAATCTCAGTGTCAATCGCAATCTCCCGAGCAGAAATTAAAATTGTGCCGAGGGACGAGAATTCAAGTTGAGCGCGGCTCCCAGATCCCTCTTCTTCCGTCAAAACTCACGCGCGCTCGCCGCATCCCGCAGCGCATCCGACCTCGATCATGAGTCAGCTCGCGGCGTACAAAAAGATGAAAGTCCAGGTGCGTCCTCCAGCGCGTCCTCGCTCCCGCGCTCTGCTGTTCCCCGCTCAACGAGGAAGAAATTATTAAAATCCTCCGCTCACGCGCGCTCGAATTCCCGCGCGATCCGTCGCGATCTCACTCTCGCTTCGCCGTTCGGTTCCCAGGAGCTCCGCGACGCGTGCGAGGAGAAAGGCCTGGACGCGACCGGACTGAAGGCTGTCCTCCTCGAGCGCCTGGAAAAGTCCCTCGCGAGCGACGCCGACGCCGACGCCGACGCCGCCGGCGGCGACGACGACGCGCCCGCGGAGAACGACGACGATCTCGAAGACGTCCCCGACGACGACGCGCCCGCCGCGGCCGCGACCGCCGGGGACGACGATCTCGTCGACCCGGACGACGCCCCCGCGACGGAGAACCCCGCGTCCGCCGGCGCGCCCGCGACGAACGCCGGCGCGAACGACGCCGCAGGGGTGTCGCTCGAGCCGAAAACGAAGGTGGCGCAGACGCCGGAGCGGCTCGCGGCGACGGAGGCGGCGCGCGCCGCGCTCGTCGCCGCGATCGAGGAGGACATCGAGAAGCGTAAGCATCGCGCGGAGCGCTTTGGGATGCCGTTCGTCCTGAGCGAGCTCGACGAGACGCGTCTGCGGTGCGCGAAGGAGGGGAAACCGATGCCGGGCAGCGCCGAGGAGGCGGCCACGAGACGCGAGGCAAAGGCACGGGGCCGCGCCGAGCGAAAGCAGAAGAAACGGGAGAGCGGAGGTCGGGGTCAGGGTCAGGGTCAGGGTCAGGGTCAGGGCGGCGCGGGGGCCGAAGCGAAAGCGAAAGCGAAAGGCGATGCGTGCCGCAACTGCGGAAAGAAGGGTCACTGGGCGAGAGACTGCTGGGCCCCCGGCGGCGGCAAAGAGGGCCAGGGCGGCGGCAGAGGCGGCGAGAAGAGATCGAAGCCGGAAACCGCCCCCGACCGCGCGACGGGCGACGACGCGGAGCGAAAGAAAGCCCGCGCCGAACGCTTCGGCACCGGCGAGACGCTCAGGGCGTTGGACCCGGAGTTTGAGGCCAAGCTCGCCGCGCGCGCGGCGCGATTCGCGGAGGACGCGCCGTGACGCGAGCGAGGCGAGGCGTCTCGACGAGCGGGGTCGCGGTCGATCGGTCGGTCGGTCGCGATCCGTCCGGCGAGGGCGGGGCGAGGGCGAGGCGGACGAGCGAGCGCTGCGCCGAGCGCGCGTTGTGAATAGTAGGGCTATCGTCGTCGTCGCGAGCGCGCGGCGTCTTCACCGGCTCGTTCGGCGGCGTGACCAGAAGGTGAAAAACCACCTTCTGGCCTGCGTACGTGTACGTGTACTGTGCGTGTAGTCCGGACAAAAAACCGACCCAAATTACAGCGCGAAAGGCAGCAGTTGAGCACTCCGTGTAGAGTCGCGATGCAGTGCATCGGACTGCAGTTTTCCAGGTTTCTTTTCCGTCGCGCGCGCTTCTCAGTACACGTACACTAGTTACAGTACACGTAGTAGGTTTGATTACACAAAAACTGAGCACCACACGTACTGTACGTTTACGTGTATTTGCTCACTGCGTGAGAGGGTTTCCCGTAGAGAAGTTTGCTCGCACTAGCTAGGTCACATGTTTTGCCCGGATGGGTTAGAGCTCAGTATATCAAACCTACAACGTAGAGGAAGTACGTACGGAAGTTCAACTACTACATGTACTGTAGGGCTACGAATGAAGGTACGAAGGTTGTTGTGTATCATAAGTTGTTTTACTGTACTGTATGTGTACGAAAGTATAGAATCTATCTTCGAAGGTACACGTGCGTACGTGTACGTAGTACGAAAATACGTACTTTTGTAGTGTACTTCCGGAAGTACGGAAATAAATAGAATACGTTGTACGAAAGTACTTTCGAAACTAACAACTTAATACCTTCGTACTTTCGTACTTTCGTACGAAAGTACTTTCGAAAATAGATAGTTTGAAAGGTACGAAAGTACTTTCGTACTTTCGTACGTTTTTAGTACTCGTACGGTACTACGGAGGTACGAAAGTACTACGAAAATATCTTCGTACAACGTTACACGTACGTGTACTGTACGAGTCGTGTACCTTCGTACGAAAGTACTAAAGTTGTACGAAAGTACAAAAGTACAAGTGTTGTACGTGTACACGTACAGCTGTACACTTATTCTATTCGTACGTGTACTGTGGCCTTGCACGTGTACAGTGTACAGCTGTACACGTAACTTGTACACGTACTGTACACAATGATACGTGAATGTTCACGTACGTAGCCTTAATAATACCGTTGTACACGTACTGTACACATACTGTACACGTACACGTACGTGTACTCCTGCTGAGTGCCTGCGTGCGCTTCTCCTGTCCAGTGTCGTCCGCGTGTCACTTACCGCCGGCGCATGACGTCCGCGCCGGGGAGGGCGTCGACGCGAATGCAGTCGCCCGCGCGCGCGATAGCGCGCGCGCTGCGGTCCCGCGCGCGCGCGACCGCGACGCCGCGCGACGCCGCGCCGCCGGATCCGCCCTCGACCGCGCGCGCGCGTCGCGTCTGGACCCCGCGCGCGCCGCTCGAGCCGGTCGCGTCCGCGTACGTGCACCTCCCGTTCTGCCGCCGGCGATGTTACTACTGCGATTTCGCCGTGAGCGTCGTCGGGGACGCGCACGAAACCTCGGACGCGGTGACGCGAGGGATGGAGACGTACGTCGAGACGCTTTCGCGGGAGATCGCGAACACGCCGAGCGCGCCGTCGTCGCGCGGTCGTCGTCGTCATCACCCGCCGCTGAGGACAATCTTCTTCGGCGGCGGGACGCCGTCGCTGCTCCCGCCCGCGCTGCTTCGCCGCGTGCTCGACGCGCTGAGAGCGCGGTTCGGGATCGACGCGGACGCGGAGATCTCCATGGAGGTGCGCGCCCGCCGTCCGCGCTCCTTGTCGCGCGCGACGACCCGACCTCGATTTCTCGGTTTCGTTCGGCGGCACCGCTGTCCGCGCGCGCGCGATCGCGTCGTGTCGTATTCGCGCGTAATTTAATAACGGCCCGCCCGCGGCGACTGCGCAGATGGACCCGGGAACGTTCGACGCGGCAAAACTCCGGTCGTACGCCGAACTCGGAGTGAACCGCGTGAGCCTGGGCGTGCAGTCGTTCGACGACGCCGTGCTTCGCGCCGCGGGAAGAGCGCACACGGCGGCGGACGCGCGCGTCGCGATCGAAACCGTGCGACGCGAGGCGAGGCTTCGCGCGTGGAGTCTGGACCTCATAAGCGGTCTTCCCGGGCTGAGCCTCGAGACGTGGGAGGACTCGCTCAGAGAAGCCGTCGACGCGGGCGTGGACCACGTCTCCGTGTACGACCTTCAAGTCGAGGAGGGGACGCCGTTCGGGAGGTGGTACGACCGCGACGGCGGCGGCGACCGCGACGCGGCTGCGGCTGCGACGGCGGCGCGGCCGCCGCTGCCGAGGGAATCCGCGGTGATCGACATGTTCCGCGCCGCCTCCTCGATCCTTCGCGACGCGGGGTACGAGCACTACGAGATAAGCTCGTACGCGAGACCGAACGCGCGGTGCGAGGTGCGCGCGACCCGTCTTCTCTCGTCTCGCGCTCTATGCGCCGGTCCCCGCGCGGCGCGCGCCGTCC